CTATTAATGTACCATCTAATACTCCATCCATATAGTAAAACAACTACTAATGTACCATCCTAAACCCCATCTATATAGTAAAACAACTACCAATGTACCATCCAATATCCCATCCATATAGTAAAACAGCTATAAATGTACCATCTAATACCCCATCCATATAGTAAAACAACTACCAATGTACCATCAAATATCCCATCAATATAGTAAAACAACTACCAATGTACCATCCAATGCCCCATCCATATAGTAAAACAACTACCAATGTACCATCTAATACCCCATTCATATAGTAAAACAACTACCAATGTACCATCAAATATCCCATCAATATAGTAAAACAACTACCAATGTACCATCCAATGCCCCATCCATATAGTAAAACAACTACCAATGTACCATCTAATACCCCATCCATATAGTAAAACAACTACCAATGTACCATCTAATATCCCATCAGTATAGTAAAACAACTACCAATGTACCATCCAATACCCCATCCATATAGTAAAACAATTACCAATGTACCATCCAGTACCCCATCCATATAGTAAAACAACTACCAATGTACCATCTAATACCCCATCCATATAGTAAAACCACTACTAATATACCATCTAATACCACATCTATATATAAAAACAGCAACCAATGTATCATCAGACACCACAATCCATATGGTAAAACAGCTACCAATGTACCATCCAATATTCCATCCATGCAGTTAAATAGCTACCAATTTCTCATCAGACACCCACATCTAAATAGTAAAAAGAACTACCAATGTGCCATCCAGTACCACATGCATAAAGTAAAATAGCTGCCAACATACCATCCACTACCTCATCCATGTCAAGATATGTACAAAGAAAAGAAAATTCTGAAACTGTTCACAATATACATCTAAAGTCTGTGCAGTTATTATCAAACTCATTTAGATTTTATATGATTTCTCTGTATAGGTATGGTAATATTTAAACAACATGAACAAAAAAAGCTACTTTGTAATAAACTACCTTGTAATGAAATACTTTGTAATAAACTACCTTGTAATGAAATACTTTCATAAGAAACTATGTTGTAATGAAATACTTTTGTAGTAAACTACCTTGTAATGAAATACTTTTGTAATAAACTGCCTTGTAATGAAATACTTTTGTAATATAAACTACCTTGTAATGAAATACTTTGTAATAAACTACCTTGTAAGGAAGTTCTTCTGTAAAAAAAACTAACTTCTAATTAAGTATTTTTATAAAAAATTACCTTGTAATGAAATACTTTGCAATAAACTACTTTGTAACAAACTACATTTATCTTTTGCAGCTATTTTGTGAGCTTCATCATTCAGTTCCAATTTTATGATGCAATGTGTAAGGCATCTGGTCATACAGGTGACCTACATACCTGTGATTTCTACCAATCACAAGCTGCAGGAAAACTGCTCAGGTGAGTATAGTTCAATATGTGTGTATAATCTACATATACCTGTTATTTCTAGCAGTCAGCAGCAAAATTGATTAAAATGCCATGTGTGATGCATCTAATCCTAGGGCTGACATGTCATTTCTACTAATCCTAGGGCTGACTTACAGATCTCATTTCTACCAGTCATAGAGTTTACTTACATGTCATTTCTACCAATCCTAGGGCTGACTTACAGATCTCATTTCTACCAGTCATAGAGTTTACTTACATGTCATTTCTACCAATCCTAGGGCTGACTTACAGATCTCATTTCTACCAGTCATAGAGTTTACTTACATGTCATTTCTACCAATCCTAGGGCTGACTTACAGATCTCATTTCTACCATAGAGTTTACTTACATGTCATTTCTACCAATCATAGGGCTGACTTACAGATCTCATTTCTACCAGTCATAGTGTTTACTTACATGTCATTTCTACCAATCCTAAGGCTGACTTACAGATCTCATTTCTACCAGTTATAGAGTTTACTTACATGTCATTTCTACCAATTCTAGGGCTGACTTACATATCTCATTTCTACCAGTCATAGAGTTTACTTACATGTCATTTCTACCAGTCCTAGGGCTGACTTACAGATCTCATTTCTACCAGTCATAGTGTTTGCTTACATGTCATTTCTACCAATCCTAGGGCTGACTTACAGATCTCATTTCTACCAGTCATAGAGTTTACTTACATGTCATTTCTACCAATCCTAGGGCTGACTTACAGATCTCATTTCTACCAGTCAGAGTTTACTTACATGTCATTTCTACCAATCCTAGGGCTGACTTACAGATCTCATTTCTACCAGTCATAGAGTTTACTTACATGTCATTTCTACCAATCCTAGGGCTGACTTACAGATCTCATTTCTACCAGTCATAGAGTTTACTTGCATGTCATTTCTACCAATCCTAGGGCTGACTTACAGATCTCATTTCTACTAGTCATAGAGTTTACTTACATGTCATTTCTACCAATCCTAGGGCTGACTTACAGATCTCATTTCTACCAGTCATAGAGTTTACTTACATGTCATTTCTACCAATCCTAGGGCTGACTTTCAGATCTCATTTCTACCAGTCATAGAGTTTACTTACATGT